AAAAAAAAATCTTTCTTGACTCTGTTTATCCATCTGTCTATTTATCTGCTTTTCTCTTTTGCGTCTTTTCTTAACTTTGTTACCTACCTATAGTATTGGTAGTAAAAGCATTTGATAACAATGATAACAGTATAAATCATATTTACAATAATTACAATGATAATAATGATAATGAAGATAATAATATCAATAATAAGAAGAAAGACAATAATATTGACGATAAGAGTGATAATGACATTAGCAAAAACAACAACAGTATGAATGATGATTATGATGATGATCATAGTAATAACAATAATAATGCAGCCCATAATGATAATAAGAATAACAGTAAGAAAAATAGGCATAACGATGACAATAATAATCATAATATTATCATGATAAGGATAATGATGATAGTAATAATGATAATCATTATTATGCTAATTTGATAACGATAGCAATAATGATCATAACATTAATAATGATAATAATAATAATAACTACAACAACAACAATAGGGAATCCAATGACGATACTACAACAGCAATAACAACAATAATCCTAATCATGATAACAACAACCAAATTCGAAATCAATCCCAATAATAATAACAACCAAATAAAGTAAAATAACCCGGTCTTCAAAATCAATCCCAATAATAACAACAACCAAATAAAGTAAAATAAACCGGTCTTCAAAATCAATCCCAATAATAACAACAACAACCAAATACAATAGAATAAAGTGATCTTCGAACTCTCCAGGGCCGCCGTCTCCTCCGCCAGGACTCGTTTGAACGGCTTTGCGAAGAGTTCTTCCTGAGCGACCAGCCGACGGACCCCGGGACTTTCCTCGCCGCCAGACTCTACTTTCTCCCGGGCGAACAGAGGACCGGCGGACCCTAATGCCCTCGTCCTGTCTGGGAGGAGGAGAAGGAGGAAAAGGACGGGGGAATGACAAGGAGGTAGAGAAAGAGGGGGAAGAGGAGGAGGAGGAGGAGGAGGGAAAAGAAAAGGGGGAGGGCGAACAGAGGACCGGCGGACCCTAATGCCCCTCGCCTGCCTGGAGGAGGGAGGAGGAGGAAAGACGGAGGAGGAGGAGTAGGAAAGAGGGAAGGAGGAGGAGGAGGAGGAGGGAAAAAAAGGGGAGGGTGAACAGAGGACCGGCGGACCCTAATGCCTCGTCCTGCCTGGGAGGAGAGGAGGAGGAGGAAGAGAAAGACGGGGAGAGGAGAGGAGGAGGTAGAGAAAAAGAAGGGAAGATGAGGAGGAGGGAAAAGAGGGAAGGGGAACAGAGGACCGGCGACCTTAATGCCTCTCCTGCCTGGGAGGAGGAGAGGAGGAAGAGAAGACGGGAAGAGGAGGAGGAGGAGGCTAGAAAAGAAGAGAGGAGAGGAGGAGGAGGAGGGAAAAGAAAGGGAGGGTGAACAGAGACGGCGGACCCTAATACCCTCGTCCTGCTAGGAGGAGGAGGAGGAGGAAGAGAAAGACGGGGGAAGAGGAGGAGGAGGAGGTAGAGAAAGAAGAGGAAGAGGAGGAGGAGGAGGGAAAAGAAAGGGGGAGGGTGAACAGAGGACCGGCGGACCCTAATGCCCTCGTCTGCCTGGAGAGGAGGAGGAGGAGGAAGAGAAGACGGGAAGAGGAGAGGAGAGGAGGTAGAGAAAGAAGGGAAATGAGGAAGAGGAAAAGAAGGGGGGAGGGTGAACAGAGACCGGCGGACCTAATGCCCTCGTCCTGCCTGGGGAGGAAGGAGGAGGAAGAGAAAGACGGGAAGAGAGAGAGAGGAGTAGAGAAAGAAGAGAAGAGGAGGAGGAGAGAAAAGAAAGGGGGAGGGTGAACAGAGGACCGGCGGACCCTAATACCCTCGTCCTGCCTAGGAGGAGGAGGAGGAGGAAAGGAAAAGGAGGTAGAGAAAGACGGGGAAGAGGAGGAGGAGGTAGGAGAAAAGAAGGGAAGAGGAGAGGAGGAAAAATAAATGGGGGGGCAGAGGACCAGCGACCCTAATACCTTCCTCCTGCCTGAGGAGGAGGAGGAGGGGAAGGAAGAGGAGTAGAGAAAGAGGAAGAGGAGGAGGAGGAGGAGGGAAAAGAAAAGGGGAGGGGGAACAGAGGACCAGCGGACCCTAATACCCTCGTCCTGCCTGAGAGGAGGAAGAGGAGATAAAAGGAAGAGGAGGTAGAGAAAAGAGGGGGAGAGAGGAGGAAGAGAAAGAGAGGTAGAGAAAAAAGGGGAAGAGGAGGAGAGGAGGAAAAGGGAGGGAGGGAGGAGAGAGATAGAGAAGGGGAAGGAAGAGGAGGAAGGGAGGAGGGAGGA